TAGAAGGGTCTAGGCCCGAAACGTCAGCCTCTCTGCTCCTGTGATGCTGCTTGGCCTGCTGTGTTCGTCCAGCCCTGCACCTTGTTGTGACAGGTTGATTGGACCCAGTTTTACGTTTTATTTACGAGTTTGTAGTTAGCCATTTCAAAATGATGAGATATAAATTTCACAAACCATAACTATGGGAACAGTCCAGTGACTGAAGTAGCCAGCAGCACAGTGATATTGGAAAATCGCAGCTGTGCAGGACCAAGCTGCAAATGAGGGGAAATGATAGATCAGACCATACTGCCAGTAGAATCCTGCGAGCACGTGAAAGGAAGGCGTATAACAAGCTGAGAAGTGACAGAGCTGAGCTTAGACAGTTCATTACATCCTGGATTACGCAGAGTTAGCAGACAGATCAAGAAAGGACCAGATCAATACCATACTCTACACAATTGACAGCATCGAAGACAATATTTTAGCAAGGCACAATGTAAATTAAGAATTTATAGTTTGCAATTTTATCAGATATGTACTTCAGTATTCAGTAAAATATAATAAATCATCAGGAGGGCAACATTTACTAAATGGAAACAAAAACCCAGAGACAGTCTAGATTCATTCATCAATGAACTTCATATCACTTCATATGGGCCATTGAAGGATGACATTAGAGATTGGATTATGGTCAGAATTTTGGAAGAAACCCTCCAATATTTTTATAGTCCAGGGAACATTTGACTTTAGTAAATGAGTGCAATTAGAGAGACAAGCTGAATTAAGGGAATGGATGAGTTCTTATTCAAAGTGATGGAGCATCTTTATGGAACAGCATATTAACACTGGGCACAAAAGTGAAAACGTTCCAAAGTTGAGACCAATGAAGTGTGATGAATGGGTGGCAGGAACAGGCTGCAACACTGGGAAGACTGTTCCACTGGAACACTTGCCATTTTCAATAAGGTCATCACAGGAAAAAAGATTCTAACCCCAAAAGCAGAAGGAGAAACCCATAAGAACAAATGACATCCAAAAGGGTGAAGAGCCAGTCAGCAATGAAATACCATAATAAAGGCAAAACATGAGTGTTGCTGAAAATCTGAAATAAACACAGAACACTGGAAATACTCAGGGGGTCTAAAGCAAAACACAAAAGTGTTGTCCACAATGGAAAAAGAAAAAAAAAAGATATAACAAGGGTGTAAAGTAAGGTGTGAAACAGAGGGAATTAGTCCTTGCTACTCAGTGTAGAGTAAAAGACAAACATGGCACAGCTGTGGGATAGGAGTGAGAGGGTAGATAAGACAAGAGAGTGTAAGTAAAATGGAGGGCAGGGATACAGCAAGCAGTTTCTGAATTGAATGTTGAGATCTTGAGACTATAAAGCTTATAAGCAAAAAATAATATGGTTCTTCAAGCTTGCGTTGTGCTTCTTTGGAAAGCTGCAGCAGAAATGTTAGCATGAGATCAAGATGGTTGATTAAAATGACAAACAATGGCGAGTTTAGGGTCATTCCTATGGACAGAACGGAGGTGTTCTGCAGCATGGTCACTCAATCTACATTGTAATGTCAGCAGCAAATGCAGTAGGCTAGACTGAAAGATGTACAAGTGAAATGCTGCTTCACCTGGAAGGTATGTTAGGAGCCTTGGTGGCCAGTGAGGAGGGAGCAGACACCTTCTGTCATTACATGGGAAGGAGGCTTGTAGGAAGTGTGAGGACTAATGGAGAAGTGAACCAGGGCGTCGTGGAGAGAACAGTCCCTGCAGAATGCCGACAGTAGAGGGAAGAGGAAGATGTCTTTGGTGGTGGCGGAAATGGTGGAGGATGATCCTTTGAATATGGAGACTAATGGGATGGAAGGTAAAAGAGAAATGGAACCCTATCGTTGATCTGGGAAAGAGGTGAAGGGGTGAGGGCAGAATTGCAGGAGATTGGTTGGACATGGCTGAAGCCCTGTTAACCACAGTCAGGGGGAAGCCTCGATTAAGGTGGTCACATCAGAAGCAGTCTGTTGGAAGGTGGCATCATCTGAACAGATGCAACGGAGATGGCAATGCTGGGAGAATGGAAAGGAAATACCATGGAAATAAAGTAACATGCCAGAAGAGATTAAAGAACCAAAAAGTACAGGATTACAGTGCTGAAATAAAGTTAAATGGGCACCAAATGAATTTCAACTTGGCGCTGGGGCAGACCAGTCCCCTGTGACAGTGAAAGGCCACCAGCTGCTTTGAGCTGGGAGCAGTGTCATTGTACGAGAGGCTCTCAGGCTCAAGGAGGGCCATAGCTATCTTTGATGTAGGTGCTGCCTCTTGGAAGTATCAGACCTGCCCGTCTGGCCTTGGAAGAAAAAGGATTTTATTGTCTTTGTCAGGCTGCTTCAAAGCCTGGCCTTCTTTGAGATCTCAGCAGTGACGAACTCTTTACCTGTCAGCATGGAGAACCAGCCAGTTGTCCTTAAGAGGTCGCACTGGGCAGACTGCTGATGGAATCTTGTCATCTACCCAATCGTGTAACCCTGCATCCGCACCCAAAGACAGGGCTTACTCCCTGCTGGTAAAACCCCTACCAATCTTTTCCAGCACCTAAAAAATGTTGAATTTATTACTCATTTCTAACAATATTCAGGCTTTTAGAACACAAGTTCAGGTTCAATCATTATGACTCCATTCAGTTCATCTCTTAATGACAGGGAGACAAGGGCCTAGTGGTATTGTCGCTGGACTGTTAATCCAGAGACCCACATAATGTCCTGCACATCTGCCAATGTGGTATACTGCATCTGCTGTACCCGTTGTGGCCTTCTCTACATCGGGGAAACCAAGCGGAGGCTTGGGGACCGCTTTGCAGAACACCCACGCTCGGTTCGCAATAAACAACTGCACCTCCCAGTCGCGAACCATTTCAAATCCCCCTCCCATTCCTCAGACGACATGTCCATCCTGGGCCTCCTGCAGTGCCACAACGATGCCACCCGAAGGTTGCAGGAACAGCAACTCATATTCCGCTTGGGAACCCTGCAGCCCAATGGTATCAATGTGGATTTCACAAGCTTCAAAATCTCCCCTCCCCCTACCGAATCCCAAAACCAGCCCAGCTCAACCCCGCCTCCCTAACCTGTTCTTCCTCCCACCTATCCCCTCCTCCCACCTCAAGCCGCACCCCCATTTCCTACCTACTAACCTCATCCCGCCCCCTTGACCTGTCTGTCCTCCCTGGACTGACCTATCTCCTCCTTACCTCCCCACCTACACTCACCTTTACTGGCTCCATCCCCACCTCTTTGACCTGTCTGTTTCCTCTCCACCTATCTTCTCCTCTATCCATCTTCTATCCGCCTCCCCCTCTCTCCCTATTTATTTCAGAACCTCCTTCCCCTCCCCCATTTCTGATGAAGGGTCTAGGCCTGAAACGTCAGCCTTCCTGCTCCTATGATGCTGCTTGGCCTGCTGTGTTCATCCAGCTCTACACCTTGTTATCTCTAATGTTCTGGGGACCCAGGTTCAAATCCTGCCACAGCAGATGGAGGAATTTGAATTCAAAAACAGAAATCTGGAATTAAGAGTCTAACAATTATCATGAATCCAATGCTGATTGTCAGGAAAAACCCATCTGGTTCACTAATGTCCTTCAGGGAAGCAAACTGCCATCCTTACCTGGTCTGGCCTACATGTGACTCCAGACCCACAGCAATGTGGTTGAATCTTAACTGCCCTCTGGGCAATTAGGGATGGGCAACAACTGCTGCCTAACCAGTGATGCCCACCATATCCCATGAATGAATAAAAAAAATCTGGGACTTTACCTACTCAACTTGGTGATCCTATTTTTGCAAAAAAAATGTGGCATCACAAGCTGCAGGATATATTTAACGAGTCACAGAAAATCCAGAAATTGCTTTCCTGGTGTGTAAATCATTTCTAATCCTCTTGAAATGCTGAGAAAGTTCACACCCAGCATTTATTCCATAAGTTTCACTTAGGTAAATATTGATTCACATAATGTTATTGTCAGTGATGTTAAATGAAACAGAATGCCAACTGACACCATCTGAAAATAAAGCAGATTGGTTGTTCCATTGGCACCTGTAAAGGAACTACTTATTTGATGCACGCAACTGAGTGACACTAGGAAAATGACACTGCATATTTCAGATAATGTGGTCCGTTTAATTTGGTTCATACAAATGCATTACACAGTGCAAACATTTCTTTGGTAAATTTATTGTTTTACGCTATGTTCCTCTTCTGTCTTATTAAAGCAATATGGCTATTAAGACACTTGGTCTCAGAACAATGTGTACAAATCCAAAGACGACAACGGTCAGTATGAAAAACTACACCAGCACTGCTGTTAGGAGAGAGAAAAAATGCGAAGCAAAGCAGTGGAATTGCCTCATATTGTTCTGGCAGAACAACCCACTCACTGGTGTCAGAACCTGCAGAGAATCACTCAACACAGACGGAGGCCCTGTGGTTCAATGTACCTTTGCCTGCTGCTCGCATGCTCAAGACAAAAATAAAAAGGACATGCAAACAAAGAATGAAACCTAGATGACGTTATGTAAAAAATAAGCAGAGCAGATACTTAAATAAATTTCAATAAACAAACTGGCTCCTTTATATCCTAGAACCCCTGAAAATAAGACGGTCAGTATTATTAGGTTGAATATTTCAAAGTCCAACTCCTTTTGTAAATAGTTGGCATCTCATCATTTTTGCAAGAATGTACTTAAAAATAAATTTAAAAAACATGAGGGGTCTTGTTCCTGTTGTGATGCACTGATATTTTTTACCCCAAATCTTTTGTGGAAGTTAAAAAACATGGATTTGTAAAGAGGTCAGCATGTAAAAAATGTTTTTTTTTTAAGAAGTAACATGGGAATGTAGCCTTAAAATCAAATAGCACCATAAATGAAAGGTTGAGGTATGATTTTTCGATAAAAAAAGCTATTCGATGTCCTTCATTGATGGTTAAAAGTGACCAATTAACATCTGAGTAAATAAATAAAAAAATCTTCCCAACATTAAAGAACCAATGGTTAGAAATGTTAAATGACGTTTAATACTGTTTCACTGGTTAGTATAGCGTTTCAATGGATAATTAGGGAGCAAGAAACCCCTCTTGCGGATCTCCCTCCCTCCCCACCCCCACCATTTCTTATGTTTGTTTAAAATAACAAATTACTACAATGTAAAAACGTCCGCTAGTATATAAAAACAGTAATTCAAGAAAAAAAATTCAGAAGTGCAAAATGCCATAAATCCAATAAGGTGTAATGGTTCGAGTTGAAAATTCAGTAGCCAGGCCACAAAGATAATCAAAAAAATCAGATATCTTTTAAATGCTCTGATAGATTGACAAATGATTTGCACTCATTGTATAAAAACGCTGATATATAGCGCCAGTTAGTGAAACAGCATGGGCAATTTTTCAATGTAGTATGTACACCAATCTGCAAAATTAGTAGGCATCTATTTATCAAACGTCCAAACAAGTATGAGTAACAACTTCACATTAGTAACTAAAGGATGAGCCTACATACATGTCTCAACACCTGGGAGAGTGAAATTACTTTGGCCCAAATTCTTCCAGCCAGTGTTAGAACCCCTTTATCTGACACTGACCAGACAAACGATTACCCACACAGTCAGAGTGTTGGGGAGTGGGAAGCGGGATGGTCGGGGTGGGGGTGGGGTGTAGTTTCAGGGTCAGCGAGGCAGTCAGAGGATGAGTTGAGGGTGATTTGGAAGGGTGAGGTGAGTCGAATGGTCAGGGCCAAATGCGGCAGGCGTCGGGGGTGGTCATAATATCAGTCTATAGATTTCAGGGTACGTCCGATCGCTAACTGTTTGGATACCAGAAGATCTGGGCCTTTAGACTTTAAGCACGCAAAATACCTGGGGCTCGAGAACATAATGAAATATGTAAAACCACTGCTTTAATGTTTCTTTCTCTCCTCCAAAACATTGTCTCACACCCATTCAAAACAAAAACCTGCACATAAAACATATATACGATGAGCTAGAGAAGTTCTTGAGATAGTTTTTGCCTTTAAACAAATAAAGTAGTTTGGAAACGTTACGGTACGTTATCTCCTCCTTATTCACTATAGCGTTTTATACAAGAAATTACATGTAGCACCAATTTTCATTTTGGCATTTCTAACCTGAGAAGCTTCTCACCAGGAAAAACATTGACAGACAAACTGAAATCACCCTGTCATACAACACACTACTTCCCTTTCAATGCTTTTGCATTGTGGTTTTCATTGCTAGTACACACATGGTACGTGCATATAAAATGTTGTTGATTTAAAATCAGTGAAGCATGCATTTGAGCAGTTTCTTTGAATATTTCTTGGGATTTCTTCAAATTGATGCTTTCTTTGCAATTCTGACTGAATACTCGTGGGTAGTTTTTTGAAAGCACACTGACGTCCAGACATCACAATTCACTGTATAACTACCAGGCCAGTCCATCTCCTCCAGTCCTGCAGTGAGGCTTTAGGACCGTTCATTTTGCTTGCTGGTTTGTTCTGCACAGACTGAGCAGCAAGCTCCCTCCATCTTCACAGGATCAGTACATCTGACTGGTGGACATGTTTCAACAAAACAAGTAAGCTGTCCTGCCTGCAATGCAAAACAGAAAGAGATTTTATTCTGAGTCCAACTGAAATCAAATCAAATGCTGCACCCCAGTAATCCTCAAAATGCAACTAGTCTCTTCTTGCTTTCAATTGCCTGCTCTCTCACAGGAATTTAATACCAACCAGGTCAAAGGCACTAGTCAATATCAATTAAGGATTTTTTTTAAAATTTTCACTTCATCATCATGCCAATGCACATATAAACTGTATACTTTAAGAGGTTGAAAAACAACTGAATGAAAAAACATGCAAGTTATGAAAATCCAAGTAAACAGACAAATAGAGCCAGGTGATAAAAAAACATGTTGAATTTTGCAAGAATTGTAAAAATGCGATTGAAATAGCTGTAAATGCCTTTCTGTATCTGAATGCACATCCCTACACAATTACACTTTGCCTTGGGTGACATTAGGACTATACCAACTCCTCCACCCTGGCATGCCCTGTTGAACACTTGGGCAGGGGACACAAAATCAAGACAGCAGCTCTTAAAAGGGCTGTTGCATGTCATGAGAAGGGATGCTGTGGTGGTAGCCCAAATGTGAAACAATTGGCGATCATGGTACAGCAATGACTTGTGGGTGAGAATGCTCCATGGGAAAGAAATGCAGCTACTGCTTCTGCTAATCTCCTAAAAAAAAAAGGTTGGTGATCTTACTGCAGCTACAGGTTAGGTGAAGTGCAAATGTAAGTTGCAAAGGCTGCAGAATTAGCTCTATTGTCAGTTTAATTTCTCTTAATTTTGGGACCAACTCAAGCAACATTTAGGAGATCAACTGCTACATGACAATATTCCAGGCTCAAAGCAGAGCACCAGCATGATCCTGAGGAGAACTTCAGAATAAATCTAGATAATTTTGTACGACTCTTTTTGATGGGCCAAATGCAATTTCAGATATAATTTACCCAAATGCACCCTGAAGATATCTGTTGGAATTCACTGTGCACTACCACAAATTCCTCTGATTTAATGAAGAATTGCAGCAATTGTACCTTGCATTTGCAGGTGGTGCATGAGTCCTCCTTCCACTCTTCTTTGTCAGAACGTTCTCTTGCCTGTCCATCAATGCATCCAGATTTATGGAGTTGCCCTTCAAGTTTTTTAATCTGTAGGAAAATATGAAATAGGCAATCAAGGAGACATTTGAAAATAAAGTGAAGTGAATACTATCTGCCACTTATTGGCCATATCCAACAAAGTCAGAAATTGGGGTCAACACAATGTCTTGCTAGCGCAGCAAAGGAACATCATATCGGAACATCATGCATATTAGAAGAATGGCACAGCACTGAGGTCTAAGAAAGAAAATTACTTATTCTCCTTTGCAATCATCCATACTTTGATTCCATTTGTCTGCAAAACTAGACATCAAAACCATTATTGCTGTTAGAAAAAAGATAACACCTCAGCAGAAAGTCATATGTGAGATAACTGACAACAATGCTCACACATTACACTCAAGTATCAATCGTTGGTCACCTTCATGGACAATTGATTAATATTTTTATTATGAAGTGTGGTAAAACCCTTTTAAGGTTAGAAGGGAGGAAGTCATACATGGAATCCATAAATATCTGGCTGCTGATATCGCTTGCCATGATGTCTAGATCTTAAGAATCATTGCCTGCTTTTGACACACTTGCTTTAGAAGTCGTAGCACTGGTGCTACAATGTTTAACTGGGAAAGAAATGATGGTCACCAATGTCACCTTGCTTGTTGGACTATTAAAGGAGTACAGTTCGTCCTTTAGTTTAACTGCATTGATTACAGGACTTTGGAGTAATACATGAGATGGGGAGTAATACTGAGATGGTGCCAGACATATTTCCATTCATCTACCAGCACAGGCAACATCTGAGGAAGGAGGGCTGTTTGGGAAGATGCAGGAAGGAGTTGAGGGCAGGGAGCAAGTTTCTTTACCTTTATTCGCCAACTTATTTTACTGCTTTTGGGGCTGGGTCTTTAAGAAGGTTGTAAAAACCCGAAAGAACTGCAGATGCTGTAAATCAGGAACAAAATGTTCTGAGGAAGGGTCACGAGACCCGAAAGGTTAACTCTGTTTTCTCCTTCACAGGTGCTGCCAGACCTGCTGAGCTTTTCCAGAAACTTTGTTTTTGTTCCTTTAAGAAGGTTGTGTTCATTCGATTATCTAATACCCAATGTCTTACTGGTTGCCACTTAGAAACTGGGTCCCAACATTATATTTTTAGAGTTACACTTCTGTACTTAAAAAGAAGTGACATAAACCAATTTCTCCACCATCTATGTATTCTCCTAGATTGCTGTTTCTTCACTTCTAAGAATCTTAACTATTTGGAGTATATTTTCACTGCTTTCTTTCTACCCAAACATACTAATATATATTTTTCTGCACACAGTTTTTACTCGATTCACATTGCACTAACCTTTCATCTGTGACGATGCTGTCATTTTAATAAAAGGTTATTTTATCCTGGATTTTTTTTGAACAGAGATTGTAAAGGCAGAGGTACAAACTGGCTGCGGAAGATGGCCTAAGTCAACAACCAGAGGAGGCCTTTAGGTTTTTTTAAAAACACTTGTAACAATGGAAGGGCAGTGGCCAGTTCCCACAGACCAAGCTTTCTAGTTTTTTTTAGCTGTAGCAGTCAGAAGCCGTTTGGTCTCAGAAGAGTTGGAGCTTCAGTAAAATGATTCCTAGCTGCTACATTCTCTGAAATCTCTCGCGATGTTGTTCTCTACTGGATTGGAGAATTGCCTGTAAGAATCTGTGCCTGAATTTGCCTTTTTGCCAAGGGGTGTGTTTCCTTTATTCATTTACAGGATGAGAGTGTCGCTGGCTCAGCAGCATTTATTGCCCATTCCTATTTGCCCAGAGGGCAGTTAAGAGTCAACCACATTGCTTATTTATGGGATGTTACTATATTGGAACAGTTAATTAGTAATTGGTACTGAATCTATTATTCTGTTAAGTTTTCCAACAGTTGTTATTCTAAACTCTTTCTTTTGTTTGTATTTTAGCTATACTGTGTAAATGAATTGTGTTCTGCTTAATGTCAAGTGGCTTGGCCAGTTGCATCACATCTGGAACATGCACTTCACATCTACCTTTAAAATAAGAAAAAGTCAGGTTCTAGGCTACCTTCTTAAAATATTTTGAGGGGGGGTCTGGTCTGGTCCATAACCCATCACTCTTTGCATTTTACCTCACCGTTTACTATTCTTGCTAATTCCGATCTGGGATACTTGATTCCTGTTTCCTTTCGGGCCTGTTTCTACATCAGTTAATGAAATGAAAACCAAGGAAAACTAAAAGTCTTGTTATCTTTGACAGTATTCCCACCTGATTCTGAAGACCAATGATAGTTTTCTGTATTTCAGACACAAAGTCCTGGAAATCATCCAAGCTAGCCTCATCCTTTGCAGAGGCAGATTGTAATGTCACAGTTGCATTTTCGTTGTGAAGTACACTCGTCAAAGAACTACAAGGACATAGTAAAATACAGGATCGTATTAGTAACAATTAAGTGTCAATGAAAACATACTATGCCTCAATAATATGGCTATTCATAGCTGCTTAAAATAATACAACAGAATCCATACAGTGTGGAAGCAGGCTATTCGGCCCATTGAGTCCACACTGAACCTCTGGAAAACGTCCCTCCCAGACTCATACCCCCTACCCTATCCCTGTAACCCTGCATTTTCCATGGCTAATTCACTTGGCCTACACATCCCTGGACACTATGGGCAATTTAGCACGGCCAATCTACCTAACCTGCACATCTTTGGACTGTGGGAGGAAACCGGAGCACTGGGAGGAAACACATGCAGACACGGGGAGAATGTGCAAACTCTACACAGACAGTGACCTGAGGGTAGGACTGAACTCTGGTCCCTGGCGCAACAGTGCTAACCACTGAGTCACCGTATCACCTCCCCCCTGTGCCATCGTGCCACCTCCATAAATAGTCATAATCATAAATGAACCGATCAATTTCATAAAACAGGATCATTGGGGAGGATAACACCCATATGAGTTTGTTCATCCAGAAATAATTTAAAAGATTTCTACACTACTGCATTTACTGGAAAATTTAAAAAGAAAGTCACACATCTGCATTTCATCCTTGCACAGAGTCCATGCAAACCTTCTACATAACTCAACACGTATTGATAATTAAGGTCTTTGCTGTACCCAGTACAAGGGAAGACTAAACAAAACTTTTCAAATTTTTAGTCACAAAGGGATCATGGGACCCATTGATGTACAGTGGATGACGAAGTGAAAGTATCTAACAATAGATCATGTGGGCAACAGTGGGAAAATATGCAAACTCATGTCAGGGATACTACTTTGGAATCTGCAGTGGAAGATTTCCTGAAATGAGCTATAACTTGATGAAAGTGCTTTTGTGAACCCTGCCTGCGCCAAATCTTTGAAAAAGCTATCCCATTAGTCCTTTTCACCTGCTCTTTCTCCGGAGCACTGCTAATTTTTCATTTTTCAATTATACACATACAATTTCATTTTCTGAAAGTTATCATTGAAACTGTTTCCATCATCTTTTCAGGAAGTATATTTCAGGCTACGTTAAGCCACTGTATAAAAAGCGCTTATCCCTCTACTGGTTGTTCTCCTTTTGAGCTTAAATCAGGTCATTAATGCTCCTGCAGTTTCTCCTAACTAACTCCAGCAAAACCCTTCAATATTTTGAACACAGTTAATGAATCTCTCCATCTTCCCTGCTCTAAAGGAGATTAATTTGTTTCTCTAGTTGCTGTAATAACTGAGGTCCCACTTCCTCAGTCCCGTTATAAGAAATGTCCATTGTATTCTCTTCACATCATTCCAAAAGTATGGTTCTCACAATTAAATGCATTATTCCAGTTGAGACCTAACCAGTGATTTCCAGACAAATGAGAGCAGACTTAAAATAGGTATCATTTAGGACTGCGTTACCCTCATTTTGTAATGAGGAGTCGTTTGAGGCAGATTAATACGAACAACCTCGATCCCTTGAGAAGTTCTAAAGACATTTGATGACTGTCATCTGAGCCACGATAAATGTCTTCCAAACATAACGTCTCCTAACCAGGCATCGTCTCCATTTTACCGTGAATTAAGAGGTAAGTATCACAGTTAAACCAGGGCATAGCTCTTACAACATTCCTCATACTCGCCATCTTACCATGTGCTTCTACCTAACACTGATTACAACAGTGCTAATCTTTTAAGAATTCCCTTCATAACACACAATAACAGTATTCAGACTTGGGTACTTCAGCTATCCCAGCATGAACAGAGCGGTCTACATTCATTGATATGGAACGACACAAAACCAGACTGCAATCAACTCTCCAAAAACGTGTCAGGTGCTGTTTTAAATAAGATGTCCAAATAATCTTTTAAAAGAAGGAAGACCCAGCACTTTTGCAATGCAAGTATGAGTGGGTAACACATGAAGCCATAACAATGTGCTACTTTGACAGAAAATCCCCCTAATTCCAAAAAATCATTAGCAGATTTTCTAGATTGTTAACTCAGACTAAATTGGGATGAGGAGCCAAAGATCACTGATTTGAACAGTTTAGAAGTCTAGGCTGTTGCCTTATCAATCCCAGCTTTTGCTACATTACTTGAAGAGCTTCATAACTGATTCTCTGTCTCTGACAACCTTCTCATGTGCAAATTAACAGACCATGCCACAGAACTCTGTTGTCAACTGAAATGAACCTGGAATGCGTCAGGTTTTTCAATTTCCTGAAAGGTGACTCATCCCGGAAGCTGTATTCAGGTGAACGTCTGCCACGGAAGTGGTGTGACAGCGCATTGAATTGCCCTCTGGTTCTGCAGTCTGGAGAATAAAGTAAAATTTTCTGTTAAAGTGCTGTCTTAACAATAAAAAGAGATTATAAAAACACTACTATCATTGAATACGTGCCATTTTCAGACATCATAACCCTTCGTTAATCCACTGGTTGACAACTGAGATTGTTAAAACTTCTAATTCTAAATCTATACTCGTAGCCCATTCTCAAAAATATTATCACTTTCTTAGAAGAAGTCTTAATTTTATGCATTTACCTCCTCCTTTCAAGTCCACTAGCTTCTATTGAATAAAACAGCGTCGCACATTGTTTCGACTCTGATAATCTTGAATTATAAATCTTTTAAATTGTAAAACAGACTCACAAACAAACATGCACTTTGGCCTCAAATGTAACAACATGGCCATAGTTTAATAGAATTACTTCATAATAGCTCATTTGTCATTCGCCTTCAACAAACGTGTTGTGGGAGGCTAGGGCAGAAATTGCAGAGGTCCTCTGCTTCATCTTTAGCCACTGGTGAAGATATGGAAGACTGGAGGGTGGCTAATGTTGTTCCATTGTTTAAGAAAGGTAGCAAAGCCAAGCCAGGGAACTACAGGCCAGTGAGCCTGACATCAATGATAGGCAAGCTGTTGGAGAAGATACTGAGGGACATGATTAACCGACATTCGGATAGTCAAGGTCTGATTAGAGATAGTCAGCATGGATTTGTGCACGGGAAGTCATGTCTGACAAATCTTTTAGAGTTTTTTGAAGAGGTAACCAAGAGGATGGATGAGGATAGGGCAGTGGACGTTGTCTGGATGGACTTTATTAAGGCCTTTGATAAGTCCTGCATGGCAGGCTAGTCATGAAAGTTAGGTCGCATGGGATTCTGGGAAAGCTAGCTAATTGGATTCAAAATTGGCTCGATGGTAGGAAGCAGAGGGTGATGGTTGAAGGCTGTTTCTCAGACCAGAGGCCTGTGACTAGTGGTGTGCCACAGGGGTCAATGCTGGGACCTTTGTTATTTGTTATGTACATAAATGATCTGGATGTGAATATACAAGGCATGGTTAGTAAGTTTGCAGATCGTACAAATTAGGAGGTATTGTAGACAGTGGGGAAGGTTATCAAAAATTACAGAGGGATCTTAATCAGATGGGGAAGTGGACTGAGGGTTGGCAAATGCAATTCAATCCAGGTAAGTGTGAGTTGTTGCACTTTGGAAAGTCAAACCAAGGTAGAACTTACACAGTAAGTGGTAAGGTCCTGAGGAGTGTTGTGGAACAGAGGGACCTATGAGTACAAGTACATAGTTTGTTGAAAGTGACATCACAGGCGGACAGGATGGTGAAGAAGGCATTTCGCATGCTGTTCTTCATCAGACAAGGCATTCAGTATCGGAGTTGGGGCATTATGTCACAGTTGTATAAATCATTGGTGGGGCCGCACTTGGAATATTGTGTATAGTTTTGGTCAGCCTGTTATTGGAAAGACATAGTTAAATTGGAATGTGTGCAAAGATGATTTACACGGACTAGTAGGCCTGAGTTATAGGGAGAGGTTAGATGGGATAGGACCTTACTCCTTGGAATGTAGGAGAATAAGGGGTGACCTTATTGAGTTGTATAAAATCATGAGGGGCATAGATAGGATGAGTGTAGATAGTCTTTCTCCCAGGGATGGGGAAATGAAAACTAGAAGACACGGGTTTAAGGTGAGAGGGCAAAGATTTAAGAAGGACCTGAGGGGCAACTTGTTCACATGGAGAATGGTGTGTATATGGAATGGGCTGCCAGAGAAAGTGGTTGAAGCAGGTACAATAGCAACATTTAAAAAACATTTGGATAGGTACATGGATGGGAAGGGTTGAGAAGGATATGGACCAAATGCAGGCAATTGAAATTAACTGAATGGGCACCATGGCCACCACAGACCAGTTTGGGCTGAAGGGCCTGTTTCCACGCTGTATTACTCTATGGCTCTAAGACTCTATGGCTGTAAGAAAGCAACATTCCAAGTCTCCTTTTAACACATAGCCTTGACTTTCAGATGTTTCGAGTTTATTGCTTCCTATACATTGAATCTATGGAAAAAATATTAGACTAATCACTTACACAAAATGTTAGCTTGCACTTATATGCATGTTAAAACTTTCAATAATTAGAAGTATGATTAGGAACTTTCAAAAAAATTGTGTCAATTTTTGTGAAGGAATGAATTTATTAATCTGATTTTTGTATTGTTATCAGAAAATCAAAAATGTAATCAGACCAGCAAATTGATAGACATGTTCCGGAATATTCCAGGCACCTTCACTTGCAAGACGAAATACAGTTATGGGTAGCTTAAAGGTGTTAGGTTTAAAAAGAGCCGAGGGTGTGAAAAGCACTTTTTTTGAAACACAGAACCAAAAAGCAGTTTGTTCATTAGTGCTTAAAATACAACAGCACAAAAATTATTTAAAGCTGGTTCACTATGCTAAATCTTCACTTGAAAGAGTTTCCTCTGCTTTTCATTCTTGTATCTTGGTCTTTTAACATGAATGAGTTATCTATTTACTTAGCTCCATGGTTCAAACTTATGACTTAAAAATAAACTTTGGCACCAGCATTTTATTGTAGTTCAATAATGAATGACTGACTTGCACAACATTTCTTGTAGCTGTAGGCAAGATTATTCCAGTTAGATTCCAGTTAAACTTGAATCCGATTTTAAAGACTATAAGGGTAGAGTCTGTAGCAATCTGTGTCATGGGAAGTATGAGGTATTTGAATAGTCAAGCGAAAAAAATGGATTCAATCAGAAGTAGGACTGGTCTGACTACCAAATGGTTTTACAAATTGGGCTCTGGGGAGTGCACATGTCTGAACACGTAGGTGTGGTAAAATATTTTCAGAAATGCACAGACTTTACACATTAGGGACATTTTAAAATGATGGCCAACAATTCCTGGCATAGGAAATTTTGTGAACTGTAAATGAAAATAAAACGGAGCTTCTTGAAGAAATTTGTTAGCATCTGTATAACAAATGAAGACAATGCAAAGTGTTGAAGGTTGTGCTCATGGAACAGAACTGGGAATGCAGTTCCACTGTTTGCATGTGTTGCTTGTTATAGGATAGGCTTTTGGAAATAAAATTTGTTTGAATCAACCCCAAAAAGGTGCATCAATAGATTGAGCTCACCCTCCTACTGCAACAGCATTACTTACACCTGGCACCTCTGTGACTTTTTCATTTCAACCCATTTTAATTTGACACCACACAGCACATGTATAACCTATTTTACTGAGTGCTTCAAAGGATCAGTCAAGGTGCTGCAGCCACTTTACAAACTCATTCAATCTCATCATTTCACTTAAAAGAAGTGGCTGGTGAGGTAGTTAGTACACTGGTTTGAAATTCCAAAATTCACCTGATTCGAGGAAGTCCGATTAAATTGGAAGACAGAAAATGCGACTCCTTTATTCAAAAAGTGAGGGTGACAGAAAACAGGAAACTCCTGGCCAGTTAGCTAAACTATCTGTCATAGGGAAAGTGTTCGAAGCACTTAGATAATTCAAGGTAATCAGGCAGTCAACAAGGATTTTTAAAGGGGAGTCATGGTTAATCAATCTGTTTAAGTTTTTTGAGGGAGTAATATGTGCTATGGAGAAAGGCAGACTGATAGATGTAGGATAGATGTACTTAGGTTTCCAAAGCGAACTAGATAAAGTGCCTAATCAAAGGAAATTGCAGAAAATAAAAGCTGATGGTGATGGAGCAATATTTTGGTTCAGTTAGAAGATTGGCTAGCTGACAAGAAGCAGACAGTAGGTAAAAAGTGCTACGTTCTGTGTATAGACCATGTCTTTTTAGTTTTGCGCTTTTTAAAAATTGTGGACTGAAACGAGAAAGACAAGGGTTCTGAAAATCAGGTAGTTCGGGGATTTTTCCATCCATCTTTTAAAACTTTAATTTTTGTGACAACCCTGAGAATAATGGGGCAGCACATTACCCCATCGAGCATGAAGAAGTCTGGGGGGCTCTTCTAGGATTGGATTAGATTAGATTTAAATCAAACAGGAGGAGAATTTGGATGTGGTATGACTAAGTGACACATATGAAGGAAAACATCAGCTTCTGTCCTTTGTTTAAGGCATGGCACTGGAAACTGCGAAGGATTTCCTGCAGATGGCAGAGTTGTCCCTCGTAGTCTTAAAGGATCTATCAAATCCCAAGTTGATTGACTTGATTGAGTAAGCAGCAGTATGTACAATCTACAAGAGGTACTACAGAAACAAGATTATTAGACAGTACCTTCCAAACCCATGACCACCACCACCTAGAAGGACAAGTGCAGCAGATACATGGGAACAAGTTCCTCTCCAATCCACTCACCATCCCGACTTGGAAATGTATTGCCATTCCTTCACAGTCATCAGATCAACATCGTGGAATTCCCTTCTTAATATTATTGTCAGTCTACCTGTAGCACATGGACTGTAGCAATTCAAAAAGCCAGCTCACCACTATTTTCTCAAGGGAAACTAAGGATGGGCAATAATAAAACGCTGGCCAGAAAGCAACACCCACATCCCTGAGAGAATTTAAAGAAATACTGGAGATGGCATTTCCTGGCAGAGCCAGAAAGACAGAAATATTTAGGATGCTAGCAAGCACTTGGGTTTAGAGTAAATGTAGAGGAGGAGGAGGAATATTTTGGAAAACGAAATGTTGGAATTATGTTTAATGCGCAATTAAAGCTGCTGGAGCATGAGAAGAGAATGAAACCATGTGAGTAAGAGAAAGATCAAGAAGAGAAATGAAATTGAGAAACCTAGAATTAGATCACAGAATTCCGACAGTGTGGAAACAGGCCATTCAGGCCATTGAGTCCGATGAGCATTCCATTCAGACCCACACCCTTTACTGCATCCCTGTAACACTGCATTTCCCATGGCTAATCCACCTAGACTACACATTGCTGGACACTATGGGCAATTTAGCATGGCCAATCCACCTAACCTGCACACCTTTGGACTGTGGGAGGAAACTGG